TAATTATGACTTACATGGCATCGCATTGTTTACGACTTACATAGTATCGTATTAATTACGACTTACATAGCATCGTATTAATTGCGACTTGCATAGCATCGTATTAATTACGACTTACATAGCATCGTATTAATTACGACTTACATAGCATCGTATTAATTACGACATGCATAGCATCGTATTAATTACGACTTACATACCATTGTATTATTTATGACTTACATAGCATTGTATTATTTATGACTTACATAGCATCGTATTAATTGCGACTTGCATAGCATCGTATTAATTACGTCTTGCATAGCATCGAATTGGTTACGACTTAGCTAGCATCGTACGTACTAATTACGACTTACTTAACATCGAATTATTTCAGTTCACGATGACTGAAAGTTTCTAATTTTTGCAACTGGCCTTGAACTGTCCCATAATTAACGAATTAAAAACTCGTACATAGAGCTCTTGCCTAATGAAAAGAATGAGTAATTGTGTGCTTGCCTAATTTTCAAATTCGTATTTATGTTTTTTTTGTGTCGAAATATAATCTACGTCTAGAATATACACTTTAATTGGGAACCGGAAACCCTATTTGTCGAGATGGTTGATATCAATTGCCAATTTCACGCATTAAAACAATGCGTGAACGAGAACAACAACATTTTATATCATGTTCAACTTCAACTACATTTTGCACATCTACAACATTTTGCAAGCTCTGGGATACTTTTCTTGTATTTGTACACACAAAATAGGAATAAAGGCATTCAAAATTTTTGCACCTAATACACATGAAGAAGAGTTGAATAGTTTGAACAAATTTGATTGTGAAATTAATGTTTATTTTAACAAAATGTACAAAATTATGTAAACTATAGTATATCCAATGAATCCAAAATAATGTGAAAATACAATTCAGTGTGTGTGATCTGAGGTCGCTACCGTACTATTCTTCGTACAGGAACGTGTGTGGCTGGGTCATTATACGTCATTATACCCATGGGTGTTCGTCGACACTTATTATACTCGATGTGTTTGTCAAAGTCGAAACGAATGGGCTTAGGTTTTTTGCCCTAGTTTTTACACGGTAGTTTATAATAGCAAACGCCTAAATGAACCAACCTTTAATGATGAACAGGTCACCGTGATTTCGGTGTCGTCTATCAATTAATCATCTCGAGATCCTAAGTTCGAGTAAGAATTTCTAGGCTTCCTACCTGCCTCTGTTTCCTACGTCAGTGAAGCGAGAAGTTGAGAAAAATAAGTAAGTTTATTATTGTACGTATTGTGTTTAAGAAAGCACCAATGAACTTGTGCTGATTTTATTGAAGATTGATACTTAAAAATTTAGAAAATATAGAATCTAGTTCGTTGTATTATTTTAAATGTCTAATTCAGCGATGCATGTTTTCCTAACAAAAGTCAATTCAATTCCAATATAACATTTTACTACTATTATCTTGGCTCATGATTTTTTTCCATTTTATCAAATAACGTTTTACATTCCAGATCATTATTCAATGAAATAATTTTTTGTTACAAATAAAAAATGCACAGTGGCATACCACAGCATCACAAAAAAATCGTTTAGCTCCAATATTATTCCCAGGTCATGAAGGCCGCTGTGGCAAATTAATGATGATAATAATCACCAATTTAGGCATTGTTTCACTGATTACGCCGATGATATATCGTCATGTGTTCGACACCTCAACACTGGGCTCAGTTCAACTGGACTGCTAATGGTAAATGGTTTGGCCAGATACATTGGGCCCATGTATGCCGGTCAGAACGAATGGACTTTTTCTTGTTTAAAGAATAAAAGAAGATGTGCTTTGAGCTCTCTAAACACAATTAAAGAGACCAGGTGCATTTGTCTGCACAAATCATGTATGGAAATCATTAATTTGGGCGGTGATATTTTTTCTCGGAGGTATTTTGGAAGTGAGAAAATATTTTTCTTGGAGGTCCGTGACATGTAGTTTTCGTCCGTGAGAAAACGTGTGTGCTCGCATGCTTTTTATGCATGGAATTATCTGAACTTATATTAGTTTGAAAAATGTTTAATTGAATAAAGCGTTTCTAGCGAAACTTTTCAGATTTCTGATTCAAATGCATAAATGAAAGCTCGCTATATATTAATTAGAATTACTACGTATCCTACCGATCGATAATATAGTGCATGGTTATTATGAAGCGATAACTTCCAGATTATTTAAATTCAAAAATTTAGAAAATACTCAAGTGCATATATTCGAATTATTCTAACTATAATGGATGAAACAGAGTGACACCTTGATATTTATCCACATTTGGAATAAAAAGGCAATAATTTTTATCTTTTGATTAATTATTGAATGATTTATGGCTATCAATTAGTTTTCTAACATAATTATTCACGTCGTCTCAATTCTTATTATCTTAAGGGGTGATATTCAAACTTTATACATCAATGTAAAAAAACTCAACGTGCGCTTTATAATTAATCTGTCTCCGGAATAAATAAGTCAAATTTAATAATTTGTTTACAATAAAAAATAAAAGTAAACTGTAAACTTGCCGTCGAAAATTTATGGTGAATGAACCTTGCGACTTTTTATTTATCGACTTATTTATATAATTATGAATTAATTATCGATAAATCAACTATGGGTACATTTATGCTTGATTAGAATTTCTGCGATGTGTGCTTCAATTAACACGGCTGTATGGATTGGATTACAAATAAATCGGATTACAAATAACGAATAAAAATTACACACGATGCTTAAATTTTTGGAAGGTAAGTGGGCACTATATCGCTGCTAAGCAAGTGATCGTGTTTATAATTTATATCAATGCAGGTTTTAATTATAAATTTCAGGCTACATATATTAATTGTCAATTGATGCGATATCAAGCTTTGTATATACTTGGCTCGATCCGTATACTGGCCAACAAAAAATTAATATCAATACAAATTTATAATTTATATCAATACATGATTTATTTATAAATTTCAGGCTACACATATGGCTCCGTATACTGGCGTATATATAATACGACGGGTAGAATTAATATGTACGGCATTCGCAGAGCAATCAAACAGCGATACAATATTCGCCCTTGTATCAAACAGCGATACAATATTCGCCCTTGTATCAAGCAGCGATACAATATTCGCCCTTGTAACAAACAGCAATACAATATTCGCCTTTGTATGTGTAGGTCATCCTGAATAAGCTTTGCTCGGCATAAGGGCGTATATATATGTATATATATATTAGGTTTGGTTAGGTTAGGTATATCAGTACTACGCACAGAAAGTGAGTTACTATATGGACAATATTACCCATTCAATTGTCTGAGTCGATCTAAGCTTAGCTTTTTGATTAAAACAAGATAGTTCGCAAATTGATACTAGATAATATCTTTCGAATTAATCGCACACAACAACAATTAAGAGTTATATGGAGGTATATTATATGAGATATTATCTGCTTATATAGAATACTTCGACGGTATTATCACTGCGCCTTGATAATCCCGTTATCTCAAACAATCCGAATTATTACAGCATCTTGAATCCCGTCTTCCCTATATAGTCCCATCATCCCGAATTATACCCAATTATAAAAAAATTCATATAAATATTCAGGGATCAAACTTCAAGCGTGATCTAGCCCTCCTCTTCCCCATTTAATAGAACCATATTACTCATCCATTAATTAGAAAAAAAACATTTATTTTGTGGATTCATATTCAAACAATCTGCAGATATTTAAATATCCTCAGTAGATCACGATAATTAATTACCACTATCCTTTAATCGTCATGTTATGGTCTTGGACGTAATTTTTATATCATTCCTATGTCCCAACTATACTAATTAATAATTGTTTGGAATCGTCCCCGCATTGTGGGGCAAACAAGCAGATACCAGAAGGAGCCATTCCATTTCAATACTTACTAATATTTTTTACCTTTTCGACTAAACGAAAGAAAATCCTTTTCCACTTGAACGCGTTACGCTGTAAATATTTGTATCCAATATGGTTTGATCTATTGAAGTAGTTTCTTAAATTTAAACAATTAATAAATAAGATTCATTATCGAATATACAGTATATGTCCGTGATAGCTCCAATAACCACCCATAATCGTGGTGATCTGCGTTTAGTATATGCATTTTTGACAATTTGTTCACATAACCTAGCTAGTTTTCTGCTTGAACATTGAATTCTTACGCGTATTTCATTTTACCAGAAAATCATGAATATTTCAGGAAGGAAACTCCGATGAAAGATAATTCGTCAGAATAACTTTTCGACACACACCCATGATTGTGTTCATTAATAGCTGATTATCGTGCAATCTTTCAGTAATAAATTAATTACCATGCCACCTTTCATCACTAAATTAATTACCGTGCAACTTTTCATTAATAAATTAATTACCGTGAAACCTTTCATGATTAAATTAATTACTGGGCAGCCTTTTATTATTAAATTAGTTACCGTACAACTTTTCATTAATAAATTATTACCGTGCAAATTTTCAGTGATAAATTATTTACCTAGTAACCTTCCATTATTAAATTAATTAATCTGCAACCTTTCAGTAAAAAATTAAATATTTGGCAAACTTTCATTAATCTTGTAAAGATTATCAGCATCTGAATGCGACACGTGTAAAAACTGGGCGTGGAGGCAATCAGCAACATAAACTGTAGCTGTCGATGTATGAATCAACAGAATCATTATACTCCTCTTGTTACAGCTTAAGGTTCTTTCCGTACTTGAATGCAATCAACCCTTTAGCAAGTCTTCCTACTTGCTGTTGAACTCGCTCCTCCTCTTCCTAAGTCCTTAAACCTTAACAGTGGAGGCCGGCCCTAGGTTTTCCCTTAATCACTTTATGCTCCGCCTTGAACACAAAGTGTGTTGGTTGAACTCCGCCTTCGGTCCGTGATATTCGTATAACTGAGGTGTCCGTTGAAGAGGGTTTTCATACGTGCACCAGCCGTTCTTCCGTGAGAGTGTATCGGTTTCTTCAGAACTGAAATCAATTTGTGAAGCGTTTTTTTCCGATAATTGTGGTATATTAGCGACCGCCGGGAGATATAACCGTGTTTCAAACATTGACTGAGTTGGAATAATTTGTTTTAAATCGATCTCGATGAAATAAAATTCCAGTTTTGAATAAAAATGTGCGAGTGAAATTTCATCGAAACGAAATCTTTGTCGCACATCGCTGAAGATGCCTCAAGGAGCAACGTCTCTCTTACCGCCGCCGATCCCCAAGAAAATGGGATTTACAATCGAATCTCTGGTAGGCGGTCGGATGTCCCCACCAAAAACTGAATCCGAATCGCCACCATTGTCGACACTTCGAAATTCGATGAATTTTTTATCTTCGGATATCAATCGAGATGGGCGGTACACAGCAGATAATGGCTACGGACACAGGGACCAACATTCGAATATTTTGTTATCGCGAGATATTTTCGCTCTTCACCAGCAGCAACAGCATCAGAATGACATCGTGAATGACTGTTTTTTCAGGGAACAGATATTGATGCGGCAAAGATCACAGCTACAAGAACAGATAAATCAGGATCAACTGAAGCGTTCTACATTAAATAGGGAATTTCTAAATCAGGAATTGGAAAGAGAAGTATTACTTAGAGGTCACCAGGAATTCGAACGCAAGGAATTCGATGAAAAATGTACAAAGAAAACCAAAATATCGCCTCGAAATTCCCCGAGAAATTCACCGAGAAGTTCACCATCATTACCTCAAATTTCTTCTTCCCCACCACATTCATTTACAGAAGAAGATCGCCGATCTATTCCTTCCCCAAACTCAATGAAAAAGCACCTTGGTGCTACGCCTTCATTGACTTCAAGTTTAATCCACAACAATTTTATTAATCCTCTACAAGGTCCAATTTTATCGACTCTGCCACCACAATTTATGGCCCTTGGTGGTGCTGGTACAGGACCGCCACAGATACAAATACCTACACCTATGGTACACCCGTTACTGGGTGCAGGATTACCTCAAGGTCTTGGTGGTAGTTTATCCAACTTACCCGGTGGTATCGGGACTCCATTACCGGCGGTTCCAAGAGATTTTCCGCTTTATCCGTGGCTTCTATCCCGACATGGCAGAGTTTTTCAACCGGGATTTCCAGGTAATTGAGTATTTACTAATTAAAAGTAAAATTATGGGTTACACATTACTTGTGCAAAATTTTAGGTTAAAAAAATTTTATGTAAAATTTTGATTTAAAAAATTGTCAGTAGAATTTGGGTTAAAATTTTTTTTACATTTTTTGTTGAAATTGTGCCCTATATTTTGTACATATATACAATGTCGAACTGGTCAAATTCTATATAACTGATGTTCTGCCGTTGCTACTAAAAATATATAGTGACAATGTTATATGGTGTTGCTGATGCTTATAAACTTTTTTTGAACATTTTTGATTTAAAATGGTAAAATTTTGTGATTGAAATTGTGCCGTATATTTTTTTTGTGACGGTAGATCAACAACGTCAATTTATATGAAACTGTAGAGTTTGTGAAGTTTATTATTATTCAGGCTGAATAATAATTTTATTGCTAATGCTTGTAATTTTTTATCTTCTCTAAAATTTTATTAATTTTGAGCAACAACATTTTGACTTTGTGTCTGGTTCTTATAAGTTTCATATTATCATTGAATAAATTATTTTTATAAATATAAAAATCAATTGATATTTACAAGATTCGTCCAATATATTTTCACCCAAAAACCGCAATGTAAGAAAAATGTAAATGATTAATTTACAAAACTATTCATATTTGGGAAATTAAGAATTTAATTCCATTCAAATTCATAAATTTATGTCTAACTTTCACACTGCTTCATCATTTCGCTACAAAATACATACATCTCTATTAATTGTATATACTTTAAACGTATTAATATTCTAAAACATTTGGTAACTTGCATATGTATATGTACTAAAACATCACAATTATTTAAAATCGCAACAGAATAAACGTTTTGACTATCTGAATAAAAACATGTATACTGTGTTTATGTATATACATATAAATACTAACATGTATACTGTGTGTATGTATATACCACTTGCTATAACAAGTGTGTGTTGTATTCTAGCTGCGAAACGATAAATTATTTAAACAACAAGTGTTCAGAATCGTAAATATAACTAAAAATTTAATTCATTTGACTAGTTGACTTTAATTAGCTATCAATGATTGTGAATCGATCGCAGTGAATCGTTTCAAATAACCTTCAGCTCGTTATCATTCTCTAATTGCCAGAATATAAATGAATAGCTCGTGGAATAACCAAATTCATGATTCAAAGTGCATCCACCTGCATTCATTCTTTGAACAGAATCTGTTCAGTAATATTTTTTGAAAAATTCCAGTACTGAAAATCTATTTAATTGAATTTTTCATCTATTTCATTTGTGGATACTCCTGATGGTACAAAATCGAAGTTGATTAACAATATTTCTACTATGTGCCATTATAATGTGTAAAATTTTGTCGATAATATTTGTGTATTGATCAGTTTTACAAAAACCGAATTAATGAGCAAAGTACCTTCAAGATGAGTCACTATTCTTGAAATGAATCTTATTCTAATTTCGTATACCATTAAAGATAGAGAGCAAATATTAAAAAACGTAACAATATTAATTTAAAACAATTATGAGTGGAAATTATTTTCAAATCGGAGCAAAATTTTTTAATCCTATCATTTTAAATTTTCCTGGAAGTATCGCATAATTGGAAATAAATTCAGTACACAATGATTTACGAACAATTAAATGAACTTTGTGTTTTGCGGCACTCGAGTTTGCCAGAAGGTTAATTAATTGAACCTGAAAATAAATTCTTCATTACATAATTTTTTAGTGATTGATTTGTAATTGATGGAACAGTAATTAGAACTTCTGTTCAGTTAGCGTTAAAAATTTATGATTACCGACCATAAATACTATTAACATTTTTTCTTTTGTCCACACCAGTAAAAATACTCATTAGAACTGATGTGACCCCAATATGGATTCATGCTGATTTCAAATTGATTTTCCCAATTCGCTAAGAACACTGCATATATCACTTTAAAGTTAATCTCATTTTCTTCGTTATTCATTTAAATCAACATGTATGTTTTCATTTATTTGATTTGCATTTATTGAATTCGTCGATTACTCAAATTCTTGAAATATTACATTCACGTTGATGATTGTTAATTACTTTATAATAGCTAAACCGCCTAATTCATTAAAACAACGTTAAGAATTTTTAGAAATAAATATAGTTGGATTTGAAACTAAAAAAAATTCATACTCACTCAACGACTCATTTTCGTGAACAATAATTCTCAGCATTTAATATGGATCGAACTTGTGTTGCAGATTTAGTTTAGTTTGTTACGAATAAAATATTCTGAATTATGGATACACATTTCCATTAATTTCATTGGATATTCAGGTGCAATAATATCAGCCGCAAGAATAGAAAATTACCGGCAAATAATTCTTATGTGAAAGAAAAATCAATGCATTTATCATTATATTACGTTTATGTTCTGTTGAACTTATTTATTGGAGAGGTTGCCAGCTTCCAAAAAAGTAAAATGAGGCAAATTAATATTGACAATCTAATAAATAAAATTTCACTCCAACGTTTTCATAAACTCCTTGATCAATCAATCAATCTAATAAGTAAATGAGCATGATTGGTGACAACGCCAATCACGACGATTGCTGCAGATCAAGTTAAATTATTGTCAAAAAAGCATCATTGTTGACAATTAAATTTCTTCGAACTTATGATGGAATTCAATTTTTGTGGAAATAAATGCTTCTATAACACAAAATTTACATAATTTGTCTAAAATTTACATTATATTACCTTAAAAATTTATTTTTCGGTGGAAACATTGAAATCTCAGCTTCTTATATACTGTACGCTGGTTTACATTATCTATGTAATCTATATACACAAAACTAACGTAAAAATGTTCTTTCAAGAAAATTTTGATTGAACTTAATTTTAATGGAAATCAGAGCTTTTACTCAAAATATACATAAAATAACTTCATACAATAAACAAATTTTTCAGTAGATACCGTGATAGCTTGTTGTTCATGAAAATCTATTTTTACGTTTTACATTATTTCTAATAAATTTGCATGTAAATGATTTGAAGTAAATATTTTTCACAGATGGTCCTGATGTGTACCGCAGATTTTTGTTGCCGTTGAAAATACAAATATATATTTACTTATAATTTTGCGCATTACATTATTTATTAAAAATTTACACGCAAATAATATCAAGTAAATCTCATTCCAGTTGGTCCTGAAAGATACCCCGGGTTTTTTCTGCCGTTAAAGATTCAAATGAACATATCTTTTTCATTTTACGTTTTGCATTATTTGTCAAAAATTTATATGCAAATAATATCAAGTAAATCTTTTTCCAGTTGGCCCCCCGGTTTTTTCCTGCCGTTAAAGATTCAAATAAATATATATTTTTAATTTTACGTACTGCATTATTTATCAAAAATTTACCCGTATATAATTTGAATTAAATATCTTTTCCAGTTGGTCCTGAAGGATACCCCGTTTTTTTCTGCCGTTAAAGATTCAAATGAATATATCTTTTTCATTTTACGTATTGCATTATTTATCAAAAATTCACATGCAAATAATATCAAGTAAATCTTTTTCCAGTTGGTCCTGAAGGATAGATACCCCGGATTTTTTTTCTGCCGTTAAAGATTCAAATAAATATTTCCTTGTAATTTTACGTTTTACATTATAGATGTGAAATTTACATGTAATTCATTTGAATTAAATATTTTTCCAGTTGGTCCTGAAGGATACCCCGGATTTTTGCTGCCGTTCCGCAAGCCGAAGCGCATCCGAACAGCGTTCAGTCCGTCGCAGCTGCTGAAGCTGGAGCAGGCGTTCGAGAAGAACCAGTACGTCGTGGGACAGGAACGCAAGCAACTCGCTGTCAACCTCAGTCTTTCTGAAACTCAGGTTCGTTGTTCTCCTAAAATATATTAATAATTGTGTTTTTTTTTTTATTTTAACTAAAATTGTGAACAATACTTTACCTAACAATACTAGTAAAAATTAAGCTCGATATGTAATGCTTTATTTTTATGCACTGTTTGATTTTTGAGTTAATGTTTCGTTTCTATGCACTGTTTTATTTATATGTTAATGTTTTGTTATTTGTGTGAGGAAATCTAAATAATATTCAGGGATTAGCGTGTGAAAAAATGTCAGCAATATTTTCCGTAAAATATTTTTTGAATGATGAAAATTATATACCGGGAGTTAATTTCCACAAGAAAAACATGTTTCTGCGCGGCTGGAAGTTTAAAAATTTGTATTTCATCTGAAATAGATGCAGGGATGGCTTATGTTTTTCGGATGTGATTACTTAACTATCCTCATACCATTGATCATCATGTCGAAAAAAGTTCGCTCAAAGCTAACCGTAATGTTTTTCAATTTTTAATGTTACTTGCCACCGAAAATTAACAATGGATTTTTGCTAAACTTTATAGTACTTTACCAAACTTGGTAAACTATATATATGGTACTTTACACACTTTGTTAATAGCGGCAAAGTATGCATTCGATACCACGAATAAAGTTATCTAATAATTGAATGGGAATTATTTGCATTTGATGACACGTTTTTTCTTGGTTATTCATTACAATTCCGATGCTCCACTTTGCTTTTACATTTATTCGATTTAAATTGGCTAACGCGTGATTTGAAAAAAGTTTTGTTGAGGGTAAAAGAAACATTGCGTTTTATTTCTTCGATTTTTCATATTTTATTCGTACTCGTGCGATGTGCTAGTAAAGCGATTACTCAAGTTTGATCTATCAAATTCTAAGCTACGTTTTGCATCTGCGTTTTCACATGCTCCACTTTCAATTGTTTGTACAGCAAATTTGTACCGAAAAATTCTAAATTTTCTCAACAGCTTCCATAATGATATCGGTCTTCTATAAGAATCAATGTTCCAATGGCGCAGGAAATGCTATCTATCTAAGTTTTGTGTTTGCTGAAATTACAATTAACAACAATACCTGAAAATTTAAATATTTATAGCTGATCTGATTAGTTTGTATTTTGCTAATTCGATTACGGCGAACTGAAATTAAAATTTATAGCTTTAATTCATACCCGATATAACTTCAAGAACCCCGATGGAATTTCCTCTCGTGTCCGCAATTCGTGATTCCGGATCCTGGTTGTCTTTCCATCAAGTATTTTTAGGATCTCACGAGAGTCGATTGAGCTGTAATTTGACAATTGGCTGAAAAATGTTAGCAAGTTTCGGGAGGAGGTCTCGGTGGTCTAGCGTTAATTACACCATTACTCTGGTCTTCCTAATGCCTCCTTCGGTGCTCGACCAATTGGCCATCCGCAAGACAATTATGTTTCTGGGCGCACTAACGACCTGCCTGAGACCTGCCGGTAATTAAACTCACAAGAACTAAAGTTATTTAAGTAATCTTGACCCCAGTTTACCCCCTCTTAACACCATTTTCTCAACGCTAACACTCCACTTTACCAAGTCATTATCGAGGGAACTGGAGTTCTCGGTTTCTTGCATCTCGTGGGGATCATAAAACGTTTTCTTTGGGATGTTCGCGCGGTCCTAACAAAAATGTATGGCACTTCTAACTTCGGTCTTAAAGTGCTGCAATGGCGCTTTTTGTTAAAGCTACTTGAGATTTGCTCCCGGGTTATATAGTCTGCCACAGTGAAAAGAATTTCAGAAAATAAATGATGTCATCACCCAAAATGGCCTGGTATGAAACTGATCATAAATTAATCAAAAATACTGTGATTAGTGAAGTACTTACTATCAATCGGTTGCCGTAAATATTCATTCAGTTAATAATACATATTATTCATACAAACTTTAGAGTCCATTAGCTTCTCTATACCGTATTAAGCAATTATTCGTCAATAACCACAAGTGATTGCAATATTAACCAATTTTTGCAGCAAAGAAATTAATTCTAAACGATACCTATTCAAGAAATAATGCATTATACCTGACATATTTACCACTATATTATATATACACATCGTTCTACTGGCAAATGAGATGTATTGGAGATGCGAGGGTGTTGGAGGTGTGAGGGTGTTGGAGTTGTAAGGGTGTTGGAGTTGTAAGGGTGTTGGAGGTGTTAGGGTGTTGGAGGTGTGAGGGTGTTGGAGGTGTGAGGGTGTTGGAGGTGTGAGGGTGTTGGAGGTGTTGGAGGTGTGAGGGTGTTGGAGGTGTGAGGGTGTTGGAGGTGTGAGGGTGTTGGAGGCGATGGAGGTGTTAGGAAGGCCCTACAGGGAAGGCCAATAAACTGGTCTAAGTTAACAAGCTGTCACGGTCCGAAATTTGGCCTAACTTGTTCTTCATTGGTCCCCGGTGTGTGGTTTATAGAGTGGGGCGAGAGTGGTTTATAGAGTGGGGCGAAAGTGGTTTATAGAGTGGGGCGAGAGTGGTTCATAGAGTGGGGCGAGAGTGGTTTATAGAGTGGGGCGAGAGTGGTTTATAGATTGGGGCGAGTGTGGTTTATAGATTGGGGCGAGTGTGGTATATAGAGTGGGGCCAGAGTGGTTTATAGAATGGGGCGAGTGTGGTTTATAGAGTGGGGCGAGAGTGGTTTATAGAGTGGGGTGAGAGTGGTTTATAGAGTGGGGCGAGAGTGGTTTATAGAGTGGGGCAAGAGTGGTTTATAGAGTGGGGCGAGAGTAGTTTATAGAGTGGGGCGAAAGTGGTTTACAGAGTGGGGCGAGAGTGGTTTATAGAGTGGGGCGAGAGTGGTTTAGAGTGGGCGAGAGGGGTTTATAGAGTGGGGCGAGAGTGGTTTATGGAGTGGGGCGAGTTTGGTTTTTCGAGTGGGGCGAAAGTGGTTTATAGAGTGGGGCGAGAGTGGTTTATAGAGTGGGGCGAGAGACCTGAAATAAGTGATGCAGTGAGAGGCAGTGTGCAATGCACTGCAACTGTACGTTGATGTATGAGCACATTTCTTTACGATTTGAATAATTTATTCGAATTTCTAATGTAGGTTTAAAAAAATCGACATTTCATCACGATTTGAAGAATTTATTTGAATTTCAAAAGTATGTTTTTCACCAAAAACCTTGACATTTCATCACGATTCAAATAATTCATTCTAATTTCTAAGGTATGTTTTTCACAAAAAAATATTGAATATTTTTTCTCAACGCGTGATTCTTTGTAATTTTAAATCAAAATTTATTCCGATCTGATGGATTTTATTTATAATGCATATCGCAAATTAATTTTAAATTATAATATATAATTATAATTACAATTATATATAATTACATGATTAATTTTATTTATAATTACGTAATTATTTGAAAAATATACTTCCATTTGACTGTCTACAGTCAGGCATATTTTACTGCATAACTAACTGCTATAATTATTTAAAATGTGGGTTCCATGTGGATAATCTTTTGATTTAATGTGCGCATCATTTCTCATTATCCACGTTAAACTTTGAATGTAATTGAATGGAAACAAAGTCTGGATCGCTTTTATGCATGGTAGAAATGATTAGATTTTACAAAATTTAACTGAAAAAAATTGGAAAAAAATGTTACAATATTAAAACAAATAAATCCTATAAACATCCACTTATAATTAATAGGTTGTTGTTGTTTGTTTAAGTAAGGTGCAAATGAAGCAGTGAACAAACACTACATTTTATTGCTCTTCATTTCACCGCACTTGATGGCTGCCTGGACCACGCAAAATGAAAATGCAAATTTTATGAGCCCACTTGTCGACCATTCCCGTGAACATTTTTCTCATTGGCGAATTGTATTTCATTTAATTTGTGTTATTTAAGACACAAATAGTATATATTGGCAAATTTTAAATGTAAGCACATTTTAATCTGAAATAGAATTCATCTTTAGTACGCATACTCTCAATTTGACTCAAAATGGAAGTTTTTCGTTTCAAGTTTTCGGTATAGTTCTTCGCATAATTGACATAATTGAAGTTGGTCAACGTTAAAGCTTAGCGCAAGTTCTTTAATTGTATTCGAGATGCTACTAATGCCAAATAAAAGTTTCATGTTCAGTTAATTCGTTAGATAAAGTTTGAGTTGTTCGTTAATTACTTTGTTGCATTCGATAACTAACACAATTATTCTCTCCTTAATTAACACGAGTTGCAATTCTGTATTGTTTCTTTTGAAATAAATTCTTAACTTGATATCTACAACGATCATTTTCCCTTTACTATTTACTTTATCCATTCACATCAAATTCTTTCGTTTTACTTCACATTCGCCCTTTCTCTTTATACCCAACGATTATGTCATCGGTTTATCTCTACTCTTAGCCTTTCCGTATGTGCTCAGTCTGCTCTCTCAGCCTCACTGGCACCCTTTCCACCAGCAGTAACACAAGCATTATAAGCTCCATCAATTTGTCCGTCATGATAGCGTTCGGAAGTGTGTAAACTGTTCACTGGATTAGCAGTGAGGGGAGACTTCGCTGCCGAGGGGAGTCGTCGATGCCGAGGGGAGAGTTCGCTGGCGAGGGAAGCTCGGCTATTATTGCTCCAGCCACGGCAATTGACCCTCGGTTTTGCTTGTCTGATGATAGCAAGATGTGTGGCATCATTGTAATCTCGGTGAAATCATTTGAGTTCAAAGAACCCCTTCACTTCAAAATTCAGGATGAAAATTTTTTCCCAGCAATTTATGTTTCTCTAAATTTTTTTTGAAAAATATCCAATTTGAACCTTAGTCGGTGATATAAAAAGTTGCGATTAAAATATTTTTCAGTATTCTGATAACCAAAGGATACTTGGGTCCTGTTTCAGCTGCTTAAAATTGTAATTTGTAGCTGAGTGAAACCTATTGATATAGGTTTCAATATTATTTCATTTTTCATGTATAAAAAATTTCGAAAAATTTCGCTAACAGAACGTTTTTAAAATAATTCATCTATCGAAGCTGGACAGAGTGCGTTTCCTGAGAAAATGTCGTTCCATGTGATGCTATATCGATATAGTATCATTAAATTTTAGTAACAAGAATTACTCACTTTATTTCTCCATGACAAGGAACCACTAAGATTTTTAAATTCCTTTTTAACTAAGCGTTCAGCTGGTTTGTACGCCATAGAAAGCAAACATTAATAAGGTGATTCTCTCTTTATTGAGTTCCAATAAGGTGGTACTCGCTCTTTATTAAAGAAACACTAAGGTGGTAGTCGCTCTTTATTAAAGAGTCACAAAGGTGATACTCTTTATTAATCAAGCACTAAGGTGACACTCGCTCATTATTAAGTTCCAATAAGGTGGTACTCGCTCTTTATTAAAAGATCACTAAGGTGATACTCGCTCTAATAAAGGACCCCTCTGCTCACTCTGAAGCCTGAGCAGCAAGCAAAAATGATACACACATCATCTCCCCCTATCTTCTCCTAGAGTATCTCTTCCTCCTACATGAACCTCATATTAGCCGGTATCCTACGAGTATCCTATGCCTCATATTGCCGGTATCATACGAGTATCCTATAATGGATTTATACGAGGGTGGGCCATAGACGGAAGGAGGCAGCGGAAGGAGCTAGACTGGTCCCTCCATACGATAAGGAAGTCGCTGCAATTTGCTACAGAACAAATGTTGTCGTTGATTGCTTGTTAACGAGCGGTCTTTGTGTGTGTTATTTTTTGTTGCTGTTCGCTACTTAAGACTTTAAACGAGCCGCTTGAATTGCGGAGTTGCTGTCAGCTTGTTGTGGGGGTGGGCTCTTGTATAGCTGGTAAACCGAAAATTAGTAATTATAAATGTAAAACTAAAATTTTTAGCAAATCAATAACAGACAGTATTTTTCATTCGAGTTGAGCTTTTTTTCTGAAAAGTAGTAATTTTATATATTAAATTCAGAACTTTTAGCAAATCAATAACACAGATTTTTTCATTTGAGTTCAGTTTCTAAATTGTCACAATTTCTCGGTGACTTTCAAGCATTTGAAACTCGTTCTATTTGATTTCTTTGATTCTTCATAATTATTTTAATAACATGGATTTCCATAAATAGATTTAGCCTAGTGATTCTTGGAATTTGATTTTTGCACGTTATGTAATTTTTCAATCTCATTCTTTTGAACTTTTTTCTGAATAAATTCGCACTTCTTAGTCGAAACTCATCGCTTCCCTTTCTATGATGTTGTGGATTACGCAATGGATTATCCGTACTCTAAAGTTATCAAATTTTACTGCCTCACTGCCATGCAAATAATTGAGTGAAGCAAAGCCAGCCTCCGCCTCCGCCTCATATAATTGAGTGAGGCACAAGCCAGCCTCCGCCTTATATAATCGAGTGAGGCACAAGTTAGCCTCCGCCCCATATAATTGAGTGAGGCACAAGCCAGCCTCCGCCTTTTGTAATTGAGTGAGGCAAAAGCCAGCCTCCGCCTCCTGTAATTGAGTGAGGCACAAGCCAGCCTCCGCCTCGTATAATTGAGTGAGGCACAAGCCAGCCTCCGCCTCCGCCTCATACAATTGAGGGAGGCAGCAGCGGAATGTGGCGCGGTCCTGTTGCGGCGGAGGAGGGAGCCTCGGACCATTACCCTCATTGCTGGCATTAACTCCGCCGACACGCACAGTTACCGCCGCCCGCGCGCACAATATGCTTCTGAAGCCACTCCGCCGCCGCCCCACCGCCGGCCTACCGCCGCTCGCGCACACAATATGCTTCTGAAGCCACTCCGCCGCCGCCCCACCGCCGGCCTACCGCCGCCCGCGCGCACAATATGCTTCTGAAGCTACTCCGCCGCCGCCCCACCGCCGGCCTACCGCCGCCCAAGGATGTTGCGGCGGAGGAGGGAGCCTCGGACCATTACCCTCATTGCTGGCATTAACTCCGCCGACACGCACAGTTACCGCCGCTCGCGCGCACAATATGCTTCTGAAGCCACCCCACCGCCGCCCCACCGCCGGCCTACCACCGGTCGCTCGCACAATATGCTTCTGAAGCTACTCCACCGCCGCTTCACCGCCGGCCTACCGCCGCTCGCGCGCACCATATGCTTCTGAAGCTACTCCACCGCCACCCCACCGCCGGCCTACCGCCGGTTCACCGCCGCTCGCGCGCACAATATGCTGGTCCCTCCGCCGGCACGCGGCCGTTGTTCTCATGATCTTGCGCCTGATACTTAATACTTTGTCGCAGAAGAGATGAGAGTTGTTGACAATAATTGAAAATGATACTTTATGGGGATAGAATGGCGAGCTAAATTTCCAGTACTTAGAAATAATAATTCATTGCACACTTGACTGATGAGTTGAACGGTTGAAGGTTTTTAGTGACATACAGTACAAATCGACAAAAAAGATAATCAAATTTCAAGCAACTTATTCCTATACTCTCATTCAATGATGCGATTTTTTATTACCTTTCTTGACTGGCATTGAGAGAATTTCTCGTTACCTTTCTTCTCACTCATTTATGAAACTTTTTACTTAACTAATTTCTTTCCTTCTTTCAATTGTGGTATTTTTATTGACTTGCACCATTATTTTCTTTTGATGATAGAATTTTTTATTTACATACCTCTCTTCCTTGACGGTGACAGAATTTTTATTGAAGAACACCTTTCTTCTCCCTTGATGATATAATTTTTTATTTTGCGTGCTCCATTCTTCTCTTTCGATGATAGAATATTTTAATAACATTCACTTTCTTTTTGTCGCAGGTCAAAGTTTGGTTTCAAAATCGCCGGACGAAACATAAAAGACTTCTACAAGAAGACGACGATGGAACGGCCGGTAAAAGTGGGAGTGAAGATAAAAATAACGAAGATGGACTCATCATCGAACACGAGGAAGATGAAGAAGAGTTGGATGTTTTGGATGAAGCCAGTGAAGCATAAAATTTTACGAGAAAATTTTCCATAAGTTATCGCATAAATTGTGGCCAAGTTTAGCAGTCTTAGAAACCTTACGCCTATCCGCCAAATCGAGATTTTGCGTAGAGAATTTCATGCCTATCTTCGACTATAGAAGAGGACTTAAGCTAAAATGTGAACAAAATGTTACTTTGTACATCGTTTTCATCGAGAAAGTATTGAATGGAGCGCTTAATCTGATTAATAAGATTTTTTATCTTTTCTTGAACTTCCAGCCTGGAAAGGAGTAAATGCGCTACGGTGGAACAATGCGGGTCGTTCTTCTGAAACCTTCTGATTGTTTTATTTTGAGTTACGAATTATGTTTTTCTTTGCTGTGAACAGATTTCTTGTAAATTTAAATTTTGAGGACTTCGCAGCTTTGTTCTAATAGTTCATAAAATCGTTTTCAACTACAATAATGTTTTTTATTTATACTTTTGTTATAAGCTTCATTCCGGCAGATGTGGCAACTTAACCACCAGAAACTGCACAGCTTTAAAAATTGTGTATGAATAATTCCAAAATTTATTATAAACAAAGATTCAAGTAATTATTATAGTCAGCCTTCCAATTCTTGTCTCGTTTACCACAGTGGAAATTCAAGTCTTCTAAACATGGGTGACAATGTAGAGTGCCAATTCCTTTCTTATTTCGATCCTACCAAAACTGTTCGAATTTTAATGGTAAATGAGTGAATCAACTTGTAATGGATGGTTCGAGTGGTAAATGATAAGAAAACTGAAAAATGTATATTTGAAGAAAAATTTTTGTTAGCTGGAAATGCCTGTTTTGAGACTACATCTTATTTTAATGAATTGATTTTCTAATACCCGCGCCAGAACGAATAACTGCGCATCAATACATGCGAAGAAGCCCAGTCATGAAAAAGCTACACTGCCAAAAATCATGATATTTTGAAAATCCTCAGATATTCCAAAAACTGAAGGATTCGCACGAGTGACCAGTTTTAAAATATCAGCATTAGAAATGCCTATGGACGAAAGTGAAAAAATAGTCTGTCATTTCATGTGTGCCCAAAAATCTTACAGATTTTCGTTGAGTTTTCAAGCCACCGAGCAGGTGTATCAATGCTATCACTGCAAACAAAAAGCACTTCTTGATAACGGTGGAAAAACGGTCGGACCGCCGTTCTAGGGGCCAGCCGCCCTGTAAAATAAAACCATGTCACCGTTTTTTAATTTATATCAACATTGATAACTAGGAATATGCTTCAAAGAAAACGGCGACGCTATTTAGTTTCACGAGGAGGTCGGCAATTTGAACGCCAGTAAGACCGTTTTTTGCCGTTGTTTTCGAACTGTGGATGTACTCTACCGTTACATTACGCACACCGAATCCCCAGCCAATCAATACTGAATAAGTTAAATGAGTAAAATGTGACTTGAGTGACGCAGATTTTTGAACGTTAGAATGACTACCATCCAATTGTGAAGGTGATCTGACTAACGAATGATCACCTTCCTATAGTGACTAACGAATGATCACCTTCCTATAGTGACTAACGAATGATCACCTACCAATAGTGAAGGTGATCTGACTAGTGAGAGGTCACATTCTAGCTAAAGCTTTTTGATTATGGAAGTATCGCTATAATTCATAGTGATATATATAATCACTTAATCAGTGTCAAGTAAGGTGATGACATTCAGTGGATGGATGCCAATGGACAAAAAGATAATCTGATCTGTACAAAAATTTCAAATGTGCGAAGAGAACCGTTTTTGACTCGCACATAAATGTCTCGTATAATTAAACGTTCTACTCGAAATATTTTTATTCAATGTAACTCTTTCAAATGTGCGAAGAGATCAGTTTTTGCTTACACATGAATGTCTTTTGTAATTGAACGTTCTACTTAATATATTGTGATTCAATGTAACTTTGAAAATATAATTTAAAATTAGTTTTCGAAACTTTCAAAAGTGTACCAAACATAAAATCTATACAAACAAGTGGAATCAGTGTTCAAGTATTTTAGTGTTTGCCATAAATAGTTTGTGATTGACCGACCTTTTGTACATTGTCTAGAAGCTTTTTCCTTAGAAATGCCATAAGCTTTCATGAAATTTGTTCCGAAAAAAATTCTACTAAAAGTATTTGTTCGGCAAAATCTATGTCATGGTTTCATAATTAATTACTTTATAAGAATTAATGATATACTATTAGTAATCCTCTATTGCCAAAAAAATTGATATATCGTGAAAGTTCCAAAGCGAAATCTTTTAGCGTAAATTCAGGCGTAATTTATTCACGAAAAAACATAAACAGAGCATTTGATTGTATTTGTTCTTTTTATCATTACTGCATTTGATGAATATCAAAGATTGGAACAAGAAACTTACATTTACGATTGACATGAACATTTTATAAACTGAATGGAGCTTAGAAAAAAGATAAGAATCGCAAAAAAAAACTGAAATATGTTTCACTGACTATCACAGTATTTTCGTACAATTCAATAATTAGTGAATAAAATATTCTGTTTTGTTTAACCTTTTTCGCTAAACCACGTAGTTTAGCTGAATTCCAGGTTATCGCCTAATTAAGCACTTGTTATTTAACATGACAAAACAATCATCATTCTAGCACATGAATGATTGTTGTTCGTGTATATAACTGTTTATTATTGTACAGAAGTTTTATTACGTGTTCGAAGTAGGTTTAGAATGGTTTACCTTTATATTCGTATCAAATTTTAATTTTTGTATAATTCTTGTAAAATTTATAAATCGAGCAATGGATATCTGTCTGATATTTCGTGGATATTCCCCTTGTAAACTTTCTTGATTTTCATATAATGGGATAGTTTGGCAGAAGCTGTTCCTTTATACATGTTCGATTGAAGACTAGAGAATGAAATTATTAATAATTTTAAATGTAGTCGTTTTCTCAAAGTAGCCATTTTAAAAATCCATTAAAAAACTGTTCAATATTAAGTCAATTATTCAGTTTTTTCACATTTTAAATATCGAGTTCAAGTCCATTAATGGCTAGTTCAATAATATTGTAAATTATAGTAATATGCTGCCTCTGCGCCCATAATTGTTTGCAATAAATAATTGTTATCAGAATTCCTTGATAATTACTCCATCCCGCACAGTAAATGAAAGCAAAAATAAATGAATGAAAAAAATGAATCCTAATCTTATTAAAAATAAGAAAATTCAAACATGAATTCACCCAGAAAAATAAGTGAGATGCTGTCCAAATAGCGATGCACTTATAGTACATATAAGTATATAAGTATATAGTACATATAAGTATATGTGCTATATGTATATATAGTACTTTCCTGGCCCAGCAAAATGGTGTACCAGTGCTGCGTACATGCAGAAAGTGTGTTAATATTTAGACCATATAGCCCAGTAATTTTTCATAGTGTAACTTTTGTGAAGCCGAGTCTGGTAATGTTTTGCAGATCTTGTCTGTATTTTGATTTATGTTTCAGCAATTATAGCGACACCCGGAAAAATTATTGGGTTAAATTCTCCAAATGTTACACATCATTAGGAAAAACCGTTGAAAGATAGTGGACGTAACATAAAATGAATCTTTTGCCTGGCAAAACTGGGTCAGGATGATACACATAAGGACAAGAAGTGCATCGAAGCGAAATTTTGACAATGTCTCCCTTCGTTTCTTTGAGTGTAAATTTTGTTCGGTATAAATCGTTTGAATATTAATGTGGTTGTCTAAATTTAACATTTTCTTGAAATTACATACATCAAAATATCTATTGGAGTTGTATACAATTAATAAATAGTATTTGTTTGATATGCAAATGGCACGAGGGCATTAGCATTAATTATGTAAAAAAACCTGGTCAATCGTATGCATAGTTCTGATTTTGAATTCGATTTGCTATTTTTTAAAATTTGAATTTCCTTCTAGTAACTTGTCAATTATACGTTTATTCCTGAAAACGTAAGCTTCGATTATTTAAAAGGTGCTTTTGGGAGTAGAATTAACCTGAAATAATTTAATATCCCCGAAATTCGTCGAATTTTAAATTTACTTAAAAATTTTAAATTGTCGTTAACCAGTATGAAATAAAATTTTGTCATATATTTTAAGGTTTTGTGATTGAAGTGTTTTAAAAACTTTGATTTCATGAAATCAATGTTCGTGGCGGTGTATATAATATCTAAATCGTTATATTGTCAGCGCGAAAATTAAACTTGAGCCAATATTTGATTCCTCTATACTAAAGTGCGGATAATTAAATTTTATAAAAATTTGTGAGCAAGCGAGAAAAATTATGCATTTGTGAAATTTGATACTTTGTATCCAAGCAAAAAAAAATGTTAAAAAATTTTCCGTGATTTGTAAATTTGTGAACCAGAGAAACTTTATTTTTCTGATTACGAATCTTTTTGCGTATTTGTTAAGGTATACTCCGCTATGCTAATAAACTTAACCAAACTGTTAAAGTGTATTCTGTACAATTAGTTGCTAAATTAATGCCGTTTAAATCTGAGTTATGCAGTATTTATCACTCAAACAATAAAAATTGAAGGGAGATTTTAGCTTTAGTTTTACGTTTATAGCTAATGGCCTGGACTAAAAATGGTCTTTTTCCATTCAACGAATTTGCGGAATATGCGTGTTTATAGGCTCGTGTGAAAACGGAAATAACGATGAAAATATAATACGGACAATATTAAGTAATGATTTATTAAAATGATTATGTAATAGGAAACCACCACCACTTGTATGCATTCTGTAAAATCGAAGTTTATCGTATTTTTTGTACAAATAATTTTTTTAACAGGTAAATGGAACTTAAAAACGTAAAAGTACAATATCTGTGTTTCAAATTTCGGCGTCGTGCTCTGGCTCCCTCCCTCATGTCAATAGACTAACGACGTGTCATGCCTTACATTTATTGCAGTTCCTATCTTTGTGCCATAAACTATGCTAAATTATTATTGTGATGTAATAAATCATCTCTCGAAGGAAATGTTTTAAACTTTATACGTTGTTTCTGTATCCCAGTACCTACATGTTTAATTCCACTATTTAATAGTATATTCAATGAAATGAGATAAAAATAGAAAATTCAAACTTCGATATTTAATCCCTTTTTTTTACTTCAAAGGCATCACTACATTGATTCAAAGTTTTCAATTTTATTTTTGCATATAAATGATCCATCCAGCATAGAAAATATCCTCCCAATTTATTCTTGAAAAATATCTGCGTCAATCTATTAAGTTTTTTAATTGAAATAGCAAAATTATAATTATTATCTAATTTTACAGGTTAGTCTCAAACGTATTCATGCTTTTTTTTTTAACTGGAATCAATTTTTTTATTGCATATAAAGTTTTCAGGTGATACTAATGAAATCAAATTTACTGCGTCCACGAAAGTAATATATAGAAAAATATAGTATACAAAGTATTTAAAACAATATATTATAGAAAGTATGTACAACTATATATTATACAAAGTATTCAAAACAATATATTATAGAAAGTATGTACAACTATATATTATACAAAATCTTTGAAACTGTATATTATACAAAGCAGCTATAATTTTCGGTGACTAACTTAGATCCCTAAACGTAACTTTGAAAAAAATAACAGATTATATAAATTTTCCAGAAAATGACAGGCTTTGATATGAGGGGAAACGTAAGGCTGTGATATGAGGGTAAACGTAAGGCTGCGATATGAGGGTAAACGTAAGGCTTTGATATGAGGGGAAACGTAAGGCTGCGATATGAGGGGAAACGTAAGGCTGCGATATGAGGGGAAGCGTAAGGCTGCGGTATGAGGGGAAAAATTCTCACGAATCATTTGCAATCAAATGAAAAATTTAAATGTAGATCGTTCACTCAGAGAAATTTTTGTCCTAATAGAGTTGTGCTTGATGCTTCTATGTGGGTCATAGATCAGGCTCGAAGATGTATCAGTGCTACGTCCGCTCTCTGCTCGTGCAGTGGCTAGCGAAGTGTGTCCAAAATTTAAAATTATATCCCATTAATTGTTCTGTGTTTGGAATTATCACTTATATTCAGTTAAATTTTCATTAAATTTAAATTTTAGCAAAATTCAAATTTTCATTTAACTTTTACTTAATTTTTTCATATCAATCATTCATTGAATGATTTGCATTTAAAATCCATTAAAATTTTTCATTCATATCGTTTAAAAATTTTACATTTTGAAGCAAATAGTTTCATAAAAATCATATAAGGAACAGAACGACTCTGCCACATCTCAGGTTCCGATCAACCATATCTCAATCCAATCCTTAGAATCCTGAGCCTCAAAAAACAATATAATATTTATTAGAAAAATTTTTCCTATAGTTCATTATGTATACAAGAATTTTGCAGTCTCATTCATATTTGGGTAATTAAAGATCTCATATTTGTGAATTACTCGATATTCATCACACTTCTCCGAGTCAATTATCGATCAATTATGACTCCTATTGTAATGTAAGTTTATTTATTGTTAGTTTCAAACTACTGACAACAAGATGTTGCTTTACTGATTTTCATATGAATAAAAACGTATGTTCCTTCAATGATTTACATATGACTGACGAACGTACGTATATGAAATAATCAACATAAAAAATCACATATATTTTGTATCGGTCAAATTCATATATAAAATATTCAGCATATAAAAATTATGTACATTTCTTATCGGTCAAATTTAAACATAAATTATTCAGTTATAGAAATTATATGCATTTTTATCGGTGAAATTTAAACAAAATATTCAGTATATAAAAATTAAAATTTCTCATTGATCAAATTCAAGTATAAAATATTCAGTATACAAAAGTTATATACATTTCTTATCGGTCTTATTCAAGTAAAAAATATTCAACATATAAAGATACATCACTTACATTTCTTATTGAAATATACTCACATTTCTTATTGATCAAATTTAAGTATAAACATTCAGCTCATAAAAAATATATACATTTCTTAATGGTCAAATTCAATGAGTAAAATATTTAGCATATACAAATTATATAAAATAATTTAGATATCTCACTAGTAAAAATCTTATATAAAATTTTCAGCACA